GGCGCGGTTTTTTGAAGGTGGGGGCTGGGGAACCTTGGTCCGTCAAGGAGCAATCCTAAATACTCCCCGTTTTGCTTGTCCCAGCAAACTAGGGGAGGGACCGCCTCTGCGGCAAAGTCAAACCACCCCACCACCCACCACCCACCGCCTCCCTCCCACCACCGCAGCAAACCTTCAACTCCCACAGGCAAACCTTCGGCTCCCGCTCAGAGGCTCGCCGCGCCCGTGCGGCGCGCCGAGGCGGCGCCGAGGCCGGCGCCTTGCACCCGGCCCGCGGCCGGCACCGCCTCGCCCCACAACTGACCGCCCTGCGGCCCCTGCACGGGCTGCAGATGCAGCGCTTGTCTGTCGTTCTCCACACCGCCGTGGCGTGGCAGACGGTGAACGAGCTAGCGTGCGGGGAGAGCGGCATTGTGCACGGAGCTAAGTGCATTTTGCCGTTCTTAACGGAGTCGCTTAGGCGGCTCCAGTGGTGTGCCTGTGATAGTGCTAGCACGCGCCAGTTCGCACCTGTGTCGAGCCTGTGCTCTGCTGTGAGCGAGAGTTGTTTTGTTTAAATTCTTTTTTCCTGGATGTGAGGCTGCCGACTGCAATCCAAGTGCTCCGCCCTCGCACAACACTCTCAACGAACAGCAAGATCCAGAATGCACGGCATGGGAGGTGGATTCTAACCGTTTTGGCGCTTGGTCTTGGACTTAACGTATATCGACGTATGCGATATGGATACGATCGTCGCCGTTTTGCTGAGTACTGAGAGGCGTGTCGGTCGCCCCACGCGCCCGCACCCACCTCAAGCCTTAGTGCGCCTGCTCCCCTCGCGCGAGGCGGAGCGGCAGGTCGAAGAGCGACTCGCGCAGCAGCCGTCCGGCCGCCTCCTCGCCAAACAAGCGCGAGAGCATCGGGCGCGCAGGGTCCCTCTCGGTGCGGTAGGTTGCGTACTCGAGCTGAGCCGCAAGCACAGCGTCGAGCTCGGAAGCGGGCGGCGGCGACGGGGGAGGCGGGTCCGCGAGCAGCCGAAGGTAGGCCCTCGTGTAGTCTTCCATCGCCGGCAGCAGCAGCGAGACGAGCTCGTCCGGAGGGGTGCTGGCCGGCAGCCGCGACCAGAGGAAACGGTCCGAGAAGAAGCGGGCAGAGTCGGGCGGCACCGGCCCTCCGGGCGGGAGCCGTCGCCGGTGTTTCGCGTACGCGGCGTCGAGCTGCGCCTACACCTCGGCTCACCTCGGCTCATCTCGGCTCATCTCGGCTCATCTCGAAGCCGGTGGTGCGGCGTCGAGACGCGCCTCGGCCTCGGCGCAGTGCGGGCGGGCGGGGCCATTCGGCTGCCTGAGGTGGTTGAGCGCGGAGGGTGAGGCGAGCCGCGAACTTCTCCATGCGCGCTGTGTGGGACAGTCCGCAGCCCGACAGGAGTGCAGGCCCGCGGAGAGTTCAGCATCTAGAGAGTGCCAGTCGATGGCGACCAGCGAGCCGCCGGGCAGCGTGACGAGGTCCGCCGAGAGGGTGGGCAGCGCCGAGTCGAGCCGCGGGAAGAAGCACAGGTTGAGCACCTGCAGCGATGGGCCGCCGTCGAGCAGCAGCAGCCTGCCGTGCCGGAGGCGTTCGCTCGAGAAGGCGCGCACGCTCAGTAGCGCAGGCGTGGCGCCACCGTGCCCGTCGCCGCTGCGCAGCAGCTGCAGATCTCCCGGCGACGGGTACGGCGCCAGAGGTACCGCCGCCTCGTCGAGCAACTCGAACGTCCGGTGGACAAATGGAGCATAGAGGCCGCTCGCGGGTGGCAGGCCGGTGTAAAGCGCTTCCGCCTTCAGCGGCGGTTGAGCGCGAGGGGCGGCGGCGGCGATCGCGACGAGGAAGGGTTGGAGCATATAGGGTTGTTGGAGCATGTCCTCTCGTTCCGTGGTCAAAAGAATTGAGTTATTGCGAAAGCGATATGCCATGTCCGCCTTTTTGTTTCATAACATCGAAGGCTAAGCTCAAAGAATTTAAAAGGCGGCCAAAAGAAATTTGAAAAGGAATCGCACAGCACGGTTCACGCGACAGGCAAGGCGCTCGCCGCTCGACGGCTTCCTCAGAAGCCGTCGCCCCCACCACAGGAGCAGTCACTCCACTCCCACTCCGGCGCCCACCCCACCCCACCCCCCCGACATCCCCACCAGATCCCACCCCACAACCCTGCCCCACCCCGACCCGAGCAACCTCCCTGCCCCACCCCGGCGCACCCCGACCCGACCCAAACCACCCCGCTCCGCCCCGCCCCGCCCCCCTCACCGGACAAACCCTGAAGCCGCACTCGGCTCCGCCCCCCCCGCCGACCCTCACCCGCGCGTGCCCGCCTGCCGCCAGCGCCGCCTCCCCCATGCGCGCCCACGACGCCAGCCGCCCGTCGCCCGCCGCCCCGCCGCCTCGCCCGCCGCCTCGCCCGGCCCTCGCGCCCGCCCGCTCAACCGCCGCCCCCGCCGGCGTCTCGACGGCCGCCGCCTCGCCCGCCTCCGATCCCGCGGAGCGACTCGCAAAAAGAAGAAACGCAGCTGTAACGACCGCGCCCAAGACGTACTCGGGCGACTCACACTCGTTGGTGACGTGATAGCAAGCACCTTCAGGACCAGAAGGCGGGCGGAGGCAGCCACCCTCCGCCTCTGCCGCAGCAGCCGCCCCGCCCGCTCCCCAACACCTGTGGACCCTCGAAAAAGAAAGACGCAGCGCCAGGGGAAAACCTGGTACGCGGGGCTAACCCTCGGAGACGTGTTATGGCCCTGTGACCGCGCATCAACCCGCATCCCTCAGGGCTAGGGCTCTCTAGCCCGCAACCCGATACCAATCGTCTGGCCAACTGGGTGCGCGTCTTAGCTCCCCGGTCCTGGGCGTGCGGTTACCGACTGCACTCCAACCAGTGCTCCAAGTGCCAGGCCGCGCCCAAGAGACGAGCCCGGGCGGCCTAATGCTGGCGGTGACGTGGATGAGGGCGCCTCCGAGTATGG